AACTATTTTCCATCAGTGTAAAGTTCACGGATAAAAGAAATGGGAGTTTATCTCAAATTCCTTCAACTCCTGCATATGATTCTGTCATTTCACTTCTAGTCGCTTATGTGATTGTGTCCTCCTTTTATTTTTATTTTTATTTTTTTTCTCAGAAATAAAACTAAAGAAAAGTTTTTAAAATCACCGATTGTTTCTCATTTTGGCCTAAAACAATTTTTGACAACTAAACAGTGAGTTATTTTTGGTAAAAAAAAAATTTGAGGTAATATTTTCTATCAGATTAATCATCTAATATATATTTATCAGAGTGTGCAGCGGATAGTTTACACATATGACAAATTTCGAGGACGAAATTTTTAAAAGGAAGGAAGATTGTAACAATCCGAAAATTTAAATTGTCCCTTAAATTTTATACTAGTATTATGGTTGTATGTGATAATATATTATTAAATAAATACAAAATCTAATTTGGCATTGGATTATCAAATATGAGATTAATTAGGGATTATTATTTGGGGCCAAATTAACAAAAATATGGAATTATAATAGTAGTTGGGCCAAATTAAAGTTAAAGATAGTAAATAAATAAATATAAAAGTAAGAGTAAATAACTAATAATATTGATAACAACAACAACAATAATAATAATAACAATAATAATAATAATAATAATAATAATGGGTGTGGTAGTAAAATAAATAATTAATTTTCTGTTGGTATACGATAGAGTGTAATCTAATTAAGGATTAGTTTTTTTATATAGTTATATTAAAAAACTAGATCAAAATGTAATTATCTTAAATATTTATTAAAGATAAGTATCAATCTATATAATTTATGATTGAATCTTTGAGAGGATTTGCGCTGATAACGTTCTTACCTCCCTATAAATAGAGAGGAGGTGATCTGTGTGGAAAGGAAAAGAAATAAATTGAAAGAAAGAAAGAAAGAAATGAAGGGAAAGGAAAAAAAAGAGAGGAAGGAGAAATGAGAGAAACGAAGAAAATGAAGAAAAAAATAATGAAAGCTGAGAGGGTCATTGATAGTGGAAAAAAAGAGTGAGGTATTAAAGTTAAGGTGAGTTATATTATACCTTCAGTCACCATAATATATTTTACGTATATTTTGACTTACCATCATTTATTTTATATAATTTATGTTTTATAAATTATTATAAATTATATTAATATTTCAATTACGTGGATTAATTTCTAAATTTTATTTGTTAAAATGAAACTCATGGATATATTTGTTTTACTTTTAATGATTATTTGACTATGACCTTATATACAATTATGTTTTGTAAGTACCACCACGGGAGTCTCACGATTTGGGGAACTTGAATAACTATTGGCCTCTGTTTGGTTACTTTGTGGCCCTCTATTGTCATGAATCTATTGACCTCTGTTCTGTGCGGAGCAAAGTACTGTGCGGTGATAAGTGCTATACTATTGTGGGAGCCACCTCTATAATCTATACGAGCCACCTTTTCAATCCGTACCTCTGTATTGTTATGAATCCATTAACCCTCTGATTTCTGGTATGGAGCAAAATGTTGTACGGAGCTAAGTGTTGTACGAAGTTAAGTGCTATACTGGTGTTGTGGGAGCCACCTCTAGAGTTCGTACGAGTCACCTCTTGAGTCCATGTATCTGTTCTGTTCTGTTCGGTACCGTGGTTATGGTTATTTATTTACATAATCTCAGTTTTGCTACTTAAATGATTATTTGTTCAGACTAAGTTATCTTAAACATTTTAGTTACATAACTATCCATAGTTATTTTGTATCCCTCATACTCTTGGTATAATATTTCTCACTCTGCCATGTGCTCATAGTTGTTTACCAATTTTCAGGAAACAATGCAATTCAGAAATAACTTTTGAAAAGTCTTAGATGCAGGGCTGCGGAATAGACACACACAACACTTTTATGATATTTTTATATGTAAATATTGATCCTTTTTGGTCAATACATTTTGTAATAAAAATAGAAGCTCCAATGATTATTTTGGTACCCTCATTTAAATATTATTTTCATTCGCGTTTATTAATTTGTTCAAGAATTGATCGGAGGTAACTTCACTTACTGGCCATCACGATGCTTAACCCTTAGGTACGGGAAGTGGGTTGTGACAAATTGTAAGAGTGAGACTGAGACTGAGACTGAGAATGAGAGGGATCGACACCATCGCAGGAGATGAAGGAAGTAGGTGGTCTTTGATGGGTGGTCTTCCATGTCTATGGAAGATGGAGGTAGGTTTGTGAGATTTGGAGACATGGATAATGAAGGAGGTGGGTTTGTCAGATTGAAGGTGGGTTTGTGAGATTTGGAGGCATGGATGATCGATTGAGGTGGGTTTGTGAGATTTGAAGACATGGATGATCGATTAAGAGGGTGATTGGCAAACGGTGGGGCTATAGAAGTGAGACAGCTACAAAGATCTGGGTTCTATGAGTGAGAGAGAGCGAAAGAGAGAGATAAGTGTGATCAAGAGAGTGGTGGGGGGTAGAAGTGAGAGTGAAAGGGAGAGGGAGACAGAGTTGAAGTGAGATGGAGAAGGTTGGATCATTCTGGATGATGAAGAGAGGAAGATGATTATACAGAGAAGTGAGAGTGAGAGGGAGAGGGAAAGGAGATAGAGTCAAAGTGAGATGGAGAAGGTTGGATCATTCTAGATGATGAATAGAGAAAGATGATTATACAGAGAAGTGAGAGTGAGAGGGAGAGGGAGACAAAGTCAAAGTGAGATGGAGAGGGTTGGATCATTCTGGATATGGATCTCATCTGTTGGAAATCCTTTATGTGGATGATAGTGATTTATCTTGGGAAGGCAAAAGAGTCGTTGTACTCTTTTGGCCTGGAAAAAAATTCCAAAAAAAAAAAAAAAAAAAAAAAGAGCCGTTGTGCTCTTTTGGCCCGAAAAAATAAAAAATAAAAAAATCAATTATAAATTAACGGTCACGTTTTTTTTTTCTTCAGACGGTCATATTTTACATTTCTATAAATAGAAACCTCAATCTCAATTTCATTCACAGCACATATTTCTTTTCTCCTCTCTTTATCTCAATTGTATTTGAGAACGAACTTTCAAAATTACTTTTGAAAATATTTCGTTTTTAGTTTTTTCGACCAATCACTATGGAACGTTCATCAAAAACAAAAAGAGGAAAATTATGCACTACTGAAGAAGATGTGGCAATTTGTAGAGCTTGGTGTCACATTACTGAAGATCCAATTGTTGAAAATTCACAATCGCATGCTCATTTTTGGGAAAGAATTTTTGAAAATTATTGCTCGCTGCAGAATGATCACTCAAGAGCACAAGTGTCTATCTGTTGGCTTTTTAGCTTTTCGAAGGGTGTTTTTGTGAATGTGAGCGTGCGATGTGGCAATTTGTAGAGCTTGGTGTCACATTACTGAAGATCCAATTGTTGAAAATTCACAATCGCATGCTCATTTTTGGGAAAGAATTTTTGAAAATTATTGCTCGCTGCAGAATGATCACTCAAGAGCACAAGTGTCTATCTCATCTCGATGGGGTGTAATCATGAAATGTTGCAACAAATTTCGTGGATGTCTAGCGCAAGTCGAAAATCTACATCCAAGTGAGGCATCACAAGTTGATATAGTATGATTTCATTTCCATTTATTATATTAGTTTTTTTTTTATTTTGTCTTACATAAAAATTAACTAATTAATTAATTTAATATTTTATTGATATAGATACTTTAAGCAAAACTGTTATACTATCAAGATGAAAACAAACATTTTCTTTTTGAACATTATTGGCCAATCTTGCAAAATAATATCAGGTGGCAAGATGTAACTCTTACGAACATGGTGAAGTCAAGAATATATACACCATTTTTCCCTAATTCAACCCCTGATTCCCCTATGGACAACTGCATTTCTCTTGAAGATGACACCAGTCCAAGTGTTGGTAACAATCCAACTGTTGGTGAGAGCAGTGTCTTTGCAAAAGGTAAAAGGCCTATGGGTAGGAAAGCTGCAAAAGAATTATTTCAAAAAAATCAAGTCGTTCAGGCTGAAGTTCAAAAATAAGCACACAATTGGACACATTTAACCAATACCTTGCAAAAGGTAAAAGGCCTATGGGTAGGAAAGCTGCAAAAGAATTATTTCGGAAAAATCAAGTCGTTCAAGCTGAAGTTCAAAAAATAAGCACACAGTTGGACACATTCAAGCACTGCAGGAGATGAAAGAACTTGAGATGAAAAAACATGACTTTGAGATCAAAAGACAAGAACGTTGAGATGAAAAAGGAAGAACATATGATAATGACTACGGACATTTCTCATTTAGACCCTCAAACGAAAGCGTAATACACAATGCGAAAAAATGAGATTTTCGCCAAGTGGTCTTCAAATGTTAGCAGCCCAAATTACTATTTTCCTCTGCCTCCTGATGAATAATTACGTGATAATGTAATGAAATTTTCGCCAAGTGATCCTCATATTTTTATTTTGTAATGAAATTTCATATTTGCTTTTATTTTTAAGTATTTTCTACAAAAGAATGTAATATTATTTTTGCAATGTATAATGTAGCAAAATAGTTAGTATAATTTAATTTTTTCAATAAAGTATAATAAGAAAATAAATATTTTTTTTCAAATGAAAGCAATAAAAAGATAAAATTTATTTATTTATTTATTTTTCCAATTTTTCAATTTTTTTTCATTTTTTATATTTGTCTAGTTAGAAATAATATAAATATATAATTTTTTTTTCAAACAGTTAAAAAAAAGTCACAAAGACCAAAAAAATAAAAATAAAAATAAAATCACAAAAAAACTTATTTCCAAACAACACCTATAAATTTGAAGGCAAAGTTTGTTGGGATTTGCCAAAATGACAAATGACCATTGGAACACCATTGCTATAATTTGACAAAATAACACTATTTATTGCCAAATTGTAACAATAACAATGACAATATAACAACAACCATTGGAGATGCTCTTGGAAACAAAATCAGGAACCATCAAAACAGAACAAGAGCTACCATCAGAAAAGCAAAGCCCAAGAAGTACCAAGAACTGGCCAGCTAAGTTTCCATTTTTCATAACAAAGAAAATCGAAAAAAATGGAATGCAACAAACTTAATACAACTAAAAGAAAAACCTTGTGCTTTCCTCCATCCAAAAAGAGAAATAAAAAATGAACATAGTGTTTTTGCTTTCTTTAATCCATATACAATGAATACTTCCATTTCAACACAGATGACCTTGTCTGCCCCCAAAAACATCCAATCTGCCACGGGCAGTGAAGGAGGAGGTTAAATCTCCCGCAGCACTTCAACTCCAAATATTGTTTTTTCATGTCTTCTCCAACCAAGATTAGATCTCTCACCATCATTCGATGCAACACTTTATGCAGAGGTCTCCATTGAACAAATTATTTATTTGCAGCTCAACTCAACAAGATGTGTTATATATATATTCTCCAAAAACTTGGATGGAAATTGCAGATGGTAAGTCAAGAACACTTGCTCCAGGACGAGAAGAGATACAGAACTCCAAAGGGTGATCATTACGCAGGCAAAGATAGACACATGTGAAACTATGGAGCAACTCCCCCCAACATGAAAACGATAACAAGTTCAAGGGTAGCCACATACTGGGACTATGGAGATTCATTCCTGCAAACACAAGCCAACAGATGTACATTTAGTCAAAAAAATAACATCCAAAATCAAGGAGAAAAGTGAGCATAAAACTAATCTCAAAATAATAATAAAATAAATAAATAAACAAATTGTGCAAGGTTATAAATCTTTAATGACTGCACTTGACGTAGCATAAGGGATTCACAGTTTGTTTAAAATGTTGAAATTACATGATAAATTTGTTAACCCTACATTTTGCGGAAAAGAGCATTTTGTCTTTCAAACTGAAGATTCTCTCAATCATGGAAGCTCTGTAGTTAATGCAATCAATATGCTGTACACAATAATTTGCACCTTCATAATGGACAACAAGACTAATTTCCAAAGTTGTCCCGACTATATCCCTATTTAGCTTGCTCAAGTAAGATAATTGTTACTTTGGTCAAATGAGATACTACGAACTAGAATGATAACAGAGTTGGTTTGCAAGCAAAACCCAGAAAAGTACAACATGAACCTCAAAGAGGTAATTACTTGTGGAGGGGAGGAACAAGTATCAACAATTCATTCTAAATTTAATAAAGAGATGGGGCAAAGTGTTCCAAAACAGTCATAACCCTTGTCCTGAAACACAAGCTCCTACCCCTTATATATGTGTGTGTATATATATGCCTTTACATTTTTATAGACTTTTTTTTTTGGGTATATTTTTGTAGACATTCAAACACACAACAAACACACACAGAAAGGGCATGTTTGATTAACAAGGATTAATAGTGAGGGGATTAACAATCCATGATATTAGTGTAGGATTGGTTATCCAGCGGGATTAGTGAGATACATAATTCCCTCGTCCACATTTGTTTTGCAATATATATATGGAAATATATAATCCCAATTATATCCATGTTTTGCGCTATTAGTAGTAGGATTAAAAAATTTGTCAATTTTGTTGGATAAAATGGCCATTGGAATCTAATCTGAATAATAAAATTTGCAATCAAACAATGGAATGTGAGTCCATGGATTAATAATCTCAATCATATGTTATAATAAGCCTAATCAAACAAGCCCAAAGGGAAGCCAAGAAGATAAGAGATCATATCTAACAAGCACAAATATGGACACATGACACAACACAAACACACCAACATGTAAATTTTAAAAAAAATGTAAGACACGACATGTGGGAGACATGCACAAAACATGTAGTTTTATATATTCACCTACATGTCATTGTCATATATAAGGATAAGCACTTATTATATGTCAAGTATAATGCTATTTTATTCAAAGACAATAACAAAATGCTATGTAAAAATTACATTTATTTTCTTTTACCATTGGGTTTCAAGTTATTTTATTCAAACTTGTACTATATTTCATGTGTGCCTAAGCAATATGCACGTGTTCTCCAAGTGTCCAAAGCATGTCTTGAGTCTAGAGAATTTTAAAAAATAGTGGGACATATTTTGAGGCGCTGACAAGGGTCAAGGAGTGTCCCATGAGTGTTGTGTTGTGTCGTGTCCGTGTCCAACATGGTATCGGACACAACACGCTATCTTCTTAAAAGTGTCTGTGTTTCTTAGGTTCGTATTATCATCCTCAATGAATCAATTGGTGCACATTAGACAAACATACTACTCACAAATGTCGCGTGATCTTTTACATTGTTTACTGTAGTATATACACTTAATATGTTTAATTGACTTTATTCCCAAAATAATATTTGTAAAATGTAGTTTCCATATTAAAATTATATTATGATGTGGTAAGTAATTTTTGTTCTTGTCCTTGATTAGTTACCACGAACTTTCAGTTTCCACGTATCATTTGCTGAAAGAAGTTTAATATTTTCTAGAAATGGCATAAATATAATGCATATAGAGCACAATAACAACTGATTTGAGTCACAGAACATGGACTACAGTTTGATATTCAGAATATAGCTAGCGTTTTGCTCATGATTTTAATTGTATACGCAAGCAAAGAACATAAGGGCCGGCTGAAATCCAAACAAGCATGCTCATGTAAATGATAAACAAGAAAAGGAGTTACAGTTTTGGTTTGCTGAGTGTTGACTTGGCTGTCCAGGGTCGATTAGACTTAACTCCATATCATGAGTGGCTGTCCAACCAGGTTCATATGTTTCTAGAAATCCAATCTTTGCCTTGTTAGGCAGATCATGGGGATGAACAAATGGCACTCCTGGTGGCCACCCAATTTCCATTCTTATATTGGCACATGGGCTATCGAGTGTGTGGATGTGACTTTCACACTCCTTCAGGGTGCAAAACCTCAGTTTGATGCCCTTCTTATCAGCGATGTCCTGAACCCTCTCCTTGAGAACTCGTTGTGCCTCAAGCCGCAATCTCTTTGAAGGTGGCAATGGTTTGCATCTCGAGTTATTCTTTCTCCTCCTCAACAATGGCTTCATAGATCCTGTACGAGCATTTCATCGATCCAAGGACCTGTTATTACAAACTTCTTACTAAGAGCTACACCACACAGGAAAAAAAGACAACCCAACATCATGATTTCTTTTTTGAGAAGTGATCCAAAATCAAGATTTCCAATCAATGGAACAATAAAATACTATAAAAATTCATCGTTTCTTTCTGACAATATGACACAGCATACTATATTAAACACACCTCTGGGTCGATCAGTTGCCCCTTTTTCCCTGCTCTTTTTTCACTAAAAGCAGATTAAAACATCAACCTCATGTAACATTGGGACCACACACCACAAAACAAAAACAAACAAAAAACACTCTAGACTTTCCACCTCTTACTGATAGTGAGAATGCCAGCACAAATATTTGAGAATGGCCCCTTCATTATGTTCAAGGGCTGGGTCCCTTAATTATCAAAAATAATAACCACCTTTTTGAATGTTAGTAGATTATGAGTTGTAAAAAAAATCAAGTGTAACTGTAGATGCTTTATGTGCTTTTACTGAAAATTCCTTTATGCAGACTAACAGTACAAGATCTAGGTCAGAAAATGATGCTCAACAAATAACCCTTCATAAGTCTTTAAATTTCATCCATTGGCTAGGCTGCAAAGTTGATATTAAAATATGTAGCCTGCTAGTGGTTTTCAATCAAGGATGTAGTGGCTACTGCAAACTGTGCTTACAACATTGAACTCTGCAAGTAATGTCAAAAAATGAATTATTTGTGGTAAAACAGAACAAGGGATGAAGAAAAACAATGAATTTAAAGCATTTATGCCTCAAACACTGCACCTCAAAGCATTTCATAGGTGACTTGCTCCAAGGTGAGCATTGATATTTAAGGGCTCACCGAGTTTTTGACACAATAAGCATAATTTTGTAAGCTTTAGTACAGTAATGGCTCAGCAAAAAGGTTCAATCCCTTAAAGTAAAAAAACAAAGTAATATTGTTTGGAAATTTGCATGGGCAGCTATGGTATACTATATATGCTAAGAAAGAAACTTCAAGGTATTTCATGAGCTTCTTAAAGATCCAGAATCACCAATTACTTGCCTTTCTAAAAGCCAGTCATATCCATTCAACAACAAAACTTTAGCCATGTGAAAGAACTTTAATTGACACAAAAATTTAAAAGGGTTGTACAAACACACAACGAAAATTTTCCGAATAAGAAAACAAGTATTAGAATGCTCCATACCGTCTTGGGCTGCAGGAAAATTGAAACTTGGGAAACTCTGCCTGTTAAATAGTTGATCAGTCGGGTGCGATCTCTGCATGAAGTCATCCACTGGTACTGGGAGCTGGAATTGAGCTTCAACATCATGACCAGCTGCTCTCATTTCTGAACAATTAAGACTAGTCATTGATTTAGGCATGAGTTTGAAAGACAGAGAACATCGTCCAAACAAGTTACCCTGCAGATTACCAATCTCTGTCCTGTGCAGCGCAGGGCTTACATAGCCAGCAGTTGCCTGATACAGAGCAAGTCCAGGGTAAACAATGGCTTCTTGGGGACCAAGATCCTCATCTACAAGGACCCAACGACCATGAAAGTCTCTTATATGTAGACCTGCCTTATCTGACTTAACAACAGATATCAGGCTTTTATCAACTTGTTGCTCATGCTCAGAAAACATGACCAACTGACCATCCTCTTGGGTAGTCAAGTTATGGTGTTGAGCTCCCTGAAATGATGACCTTGCATGACAACAGATTGACAGTAATGAGGATGAAATTTCCCGATTTCTCAGGGGAACATTATCGAGTATTTCTGTAAATGGAGAGCTACGCAAATTCAGGTAGAAGCTTATGGCATCCAAAATATCTCTGGCAGCTTTCCCAAGCAGTACAAATATATCAGCCAAACCAGAAGGAGCAAATTCCATTTCATTGTTAGGCTCCATGGGAGTCAGGCCAGGTCTGAAATCATAAGTTTCTTGCCACAGTTGAGGATCTGCATAATAGCCAGAGGTTTTGCACCATTCACGGGAGTTATTCGTATGAATCATGTCCGCAGATGGATAGGATGGTCTTTGATGGAAGTAGAGACGAGCAGATTCCAAACACGACCTCAAAAGAGCAGCATCAGTGGGTGGTAATTGAATGATAGCAGCAGAATATTGAGCCAGTGATTGCGACAAAGTCGAAACTGACAATTTGTACAAATCAGAAGGAAGGCCTTCAGAAGGTATCAGATCACTGAGCTTCACACGACCCAAAGATGGCAGGCCATTGCCTGCCATGGAAGCCTTTCAAGATGTCAACTGTGTTAAGGGAAAAATAAACCCAGGTCAGCTACTTAATTGGCTGCATAGATGGATGGGAAAATGGCATTAAGCGCAGGCAAACTATGCTGAAAATCATTGTCTTTGCACATGAAAAAACTATTCAATTGACTCATCCCAATATTGGTCTTCACAAGCAATTTAAAGGTCCACTAAGAAATAGAAATGCATATAAGAATAAGGGTCCTGCAAGTGACCACCCACTGTGCATTCGTTAAGAAGCAAATAATGCAAAGATAAGTTAGAATTTCAATACACATTTCACATTTTCTCATACAAATCTATATATATATATATATATATGTATGTATACACTTTATCATATTTTTCAGTGCGCTTTTTACCCACATAGACGTGGTTAGCATTTCCCTAGTCCGATTAAAAAATCCACAATTCACCGAATTTTTTGGGCCATGAAAAGCACGATGGAGCAGCTGATTGAGTTTCAAGAGTTGCAAATTAAAACCTATTATGCATCTTCTTCGATTCTACTCACCATAAGAAAAAATCAGTTTTCTAATCAATTATAACCATTTATTAAAGGGAATGAAACATGAATTCATTAGCCAAGAAAGAGCCATATAAGAACATACACCTACATATAGTTATAAATACACAGACATGCACATACATACATATGTATACACAACTTAGAGAGAGAGAGAGAGGAATAAGATGACTTACAATACTTAATTGTCGATGGAAATCAAATATAATCTTGATTTCACAAGAATTGCTAGGGCTTTGTATAATAGGAAATCGATTCCAATGTTTCAAATTGAAGAATTACAGAAAGAGACAAGTGATTTGGTCGTAGGGACTGTGCTTTCACTGTAACTATTCGATGAGCAACTTCACAGCTTGCTCTCTTCTACTTCTTCGTCTCTCTCTCTCTCTCTCGCTCTCTCTCGGATTCGGTCTTCGTTCTATTTTTTCATTTGATTTCAGACGAGTCCTCTCATAATTATATTTCATGTAATTTGCACTTGCCCCCCCATTAGGTATTAAAATTAGACACCAGTCCCTTTGTTTCAAAAATATGCAAAAACCTTCGCTGCCAATATTATAAAATATTTGATCAATTAAAAAAATAAACTATAGATCTTTAGGACTCAGACTGGTTTTTCTCAACCAAAAAAAAAAAATTAAGGTCAAATTATTATTAAATTTATAAAATTTAAGTGTCAAAATACTAATTTTTTTATAATAAATATCAATTAAGCATGTAAATTCTAAAAATATTACCATAGGAGTATTAGGTACTTACTCTGTATAAATGGGCAAAAAACGTTAGGTATAGCTTAAATATGACATGGGTATGATCCGAGTACTTTCACTTTTTTGGATACATTGGGGGCAAAAATATAAATTTCATAAAAATAAAGATAACAATTATATTATGCCAATTTCAAAATATTATCTTGTTAATGTGTGTTATTAGAGCACATATTAAAAAATATTTTAAAAATTATGTATTATTTATTGCATTTATTTTTAATTTTATTAACATGTACTATAAGAGCACACATTAACAAAATATTTTTTACAAATATAAAATATTTTTACAATTATCAAAAATATAAAAAATACATTAGTAACATACAATTATAAATAAAAAAAAAATTTAATATAATACATAAGAGTTAGATTTTTACCACTAAAGAGACGTGTAGATTGGATCCTTAACAAATTGTGACATTAAACTCTACTGTGTACACTATTTTAATTACTATATACATTTGATTTTATCTTTGTTACTATTATGTACTAATATAAATTATAAAATTATATTTATCCATATATTACCACATCAATATCTTTTTATTTCAAAAAAAAAAAAAATCTATCTCTGTACCTACACCTTAATATTTAAAATATATTTTTCGAACCCAAAATATTAATTTTTCTTGTCAATACTATAAATTATATGGATTAACGAAGATTTTGTAAATTGACAACTGTGGCCCTATAAATTTATGCAGATGCATAAATCCCAAAAAATAATATTAATTATAAGGGTTTATGAAAATTTCATGAATGGTTTGAATAAATGAGCATGTTAATCTCATGGTTGAAATAGATCACACTGCGTATTAGTATGCATTCAGCACATATAAATCTCAAAAGGACAACATGGTTTGGTTGGACTGAATTAAATTGCTAAAATAATTTACAGTCCAACTGTTAATTCACTGCAACAACTTAAACAGGCAACACTCCTGGTACATTTGTATCAGTCAATAGTAAGAAAGTCACAACAACACAGCATGCCATCCATACAATAAGCTGAACCGTTGTGCTATGAACTCAAAAGATTTTCACAACTATCCAAACGGACCCTCAGATTTACCACTCCAAGCTAAAACTCATTTTCCCTTTCATGTACCTGTCAGGGGATCTGAGCGCCTTCTCTTGGGGGGCTCATTGTCACCCAACTGCAGCGAAACAACAATACCCTCATCGGGGGCAGCTCTCAACGCGGAGAGATTCTCAGATGTGGCCCTGTCCTGTTTGTTGTTTTGGTGCAGCGGAGACCAGCCATTGAAGCTCGGAATGAACTGGTGTTCAACACTTGGACCCATCTTGACCTTGTCTTCTGAAGGAAACTCGGTTTCAGTTGGTGATGAATTCATGTCTGGGCCAACCGCTCCATCTTCCAGAGGGATATGCTGGATGTGAAGACCAAGAGGTTCGACTTTGTCCTTTGGGAGAACTATGTCGGGAGGTGAAGAATCATCAACTGTCGAGCCAACCGCTGTTGCAGAAGCAGCTCTCTGTTCTCGCACTGCTACTACAAGTAACAAAAATATACCCGAAATCAGAATGAGATCTTAACATCATGCAAAGCAAATGGAAAGAAACATTAATAATCATTTCGCCAAATAGACAAACTTGCTGTCAGGAAAATGCGGTTGGGAAAATGGGTAAAGAAAATCAGAACCATAGAGCAATAAATTGAGCATACAAAGGCAAAGAAGCATTTTTAATATATTACATTACAGTAATGCTACAGACCAAGACATAAAAACCCAGAAAATACCCAGAATTTCACATCAGTAGCTCAGATTCATTTCATATGTGGACCCCACACTTCATCAATTCAATCTCCACCACCCAAACCCAATCCCAATTTTGGTTACGTTCTGGGACCCTAGTTTTTTTTATTACATTAAAATATCATAGCAGAAAATAACAAAACATCATCTAGGGAAAATGAAGAAAACCTTTTAGTGCCTCGTTACTTGTGATGATATCAAGCTCAAGAAGAATGAGCAGGCGCCCAAGATCAACCCCACTCGTCCAATTTTCCGGAGGTTGACCAACTTTCAACTTAAGTCGGCCCCTGTTAGCAGTTCCACCCCATATGATCCCAATTGGCCTAGGCTTCTCCCCATTCCCACCCTTTTGTATGATTAGGCTTCCACTGTCTCCTTCTAGATCGAATGTCTGTTGGTTCTCACCCACGACGAGAAAATCAGTCAAAAAACATATCCCTTTCTCGTCATTGTACTCGAGGGCATAAGCCAAAACCGTTCCAGTTGTCAGGCCAGAGCTTCTTCCAACCTTCATCACTTGCTTTCCAATAAGGGTATTGATGGGAGACTGCAAATCTATAATTTTCACATCTCCAATCTCTCCTACACCTTTCACTGATGTAGTTACAGTGGACATGTCAAAATCATCAGCGAAAGGGATGAATGCCCCATCTGCTCTGACAAATGTCTCTGCAGGTGACCACATCGTAATTATACGCATAGGAATCAGGATGTTAGAAGAACATCAAAACATTGGAAACCGCATTAGCAGAAGTACAAATTTAATCAGGAGAATATCTATACCACACACATTTGTCCCCCAAAACTATGTAGTTTGTTGGGTAATAAAATCTGTTATCGGAAATACTTTACCTGGATTTATGCCAGCAAATATGCCATACCAAAGCTCATCTGTGATGAATGAAGTAGCCCTCTCCACTGCACCAAGATATATACCAGGTCCAAGTGTGGGTGGCAATGGATGGAACATTTTCTGATTGGGGTAATCCAAGTCCACTGCAACATGCCGGTTTGTGAGGAAACCAACTTGTCGATTGCCTGTTTGGCTCCTCACAATAGCACCCAAAGTCCCATAGGTCTCCTGATTTGCTACCTATACATATTAAATATGGTCTAAATTATCATTAAGTAATGCAGTGGGAAAATTATAAAAAAAAAATAATTCAAAAAATTATCTCAAGGAAGAAACAGAAGCAATAAACAAAGAAAATTGGAAATCATGGATATCTATAGAACATATATCGAATGATAAAAACATAAAATTTTCCAATGTTTTTTTTCACTTCACAAATTGAATGGCTTATTTCTTATGTTCTAAGTAGCTGCCCGCAAAGGTTCTTGGGTAGACCAAACAATTCAAATAATGAATGGATTCATTTTTATGTGTTTTTGCATGATTACCCATCCATCTTAATACCATCATTCAAGGCGGGTTCTATTGCCATGCTATTTCTTAACTGGTTAGTATTTTGAATAAAGTACAGTGAGCCTCAATTCTCTCTAGCGAAACTTGTATCATCTTGTACCATGAAGTTGAGCTGGCCTCAGTTTTTTTTTTGGGGGGGTATAAATTCAGCAAGCATAAGCCGCCTCAGAGACATTTCTCCAGTTCATTCATCTTGCTGTAATTTTTGTCTGCAAGGTCTTCTTAAATCTTCACTTCATTCATTTTGAAGCGAGTCATTTGTGAAAAATGATTATCAAAAGTTATTGACTCACAAGGACAGTGGACAACCAAATTATGTTCTAAGCCAAGGTTATGTTGAAGAGATATGAATCATATGATCCTTGGGAAAATAGAAACATAGAAACCTGATCAGGACCATCATTAAGTGAGTTTAAATAACCAACCTTAATGCATTAACCACTATATATTTGTAGTTCAACATATATGCAGGCATTATTATGTACAGAGATTAACAACAACAACAAAAAAAGCATTTTCCCACCATATAAGTGATATCAAAACAATAGATTGTAATAACTTGAGCATACCTGAGACCCTGAACTAATGCAGGGGTCACTCCCACGGAGGTCATCCACTATCTCCGTGTACAATTGCTCCTTGGGAGCTGGCTCAGGTGCGCCAAAGTATGAGAACTCCACCACATCCACATCGCACCATACACCTCCCGGTCCCTGAAAGGTTGTAAAAGCCATTTTAACCTCAAAGCAATACTAAGCAATAACAAAATGGAAAGTATCTAACAATAACATGCAAGCCTCACAATGCGAGTATATTAACCCTCACCAGTTCAACCCCTCCACAACAACGCACAGAAAATAAATTAATAGGGACAGAAGATTAAAAAATAAGCATCCTTGCCTCACCTCTAGAGCAGTAGGTAGACACTGGATGGGGCTGAGCCATTGCTTGTGAACTTTCCGGGAAACAAAAACTAAAATCGCTGGAATATCTGTCAAAACACCCCGTCGGATACGAAACCCAATTGCTGTGCCAAGACTGTAACATCTCAAGATTTTGCTATGAAATGCCCTAATGGTCATGAGCTCAAGCAAGGTGGTTGCTTGCTGCCCTTTTGGTAACCGATTAAGAGTTTCAGGTAGCACCCCTTTCTGTAGGTTGGCAAAATAGTTTGCCCTCTCTTCGGCAGCATCATTTAATCGACTGGAAGTAGGCCATGAAAAGTAAGCAGCATTGCTCTCAGAATGTTGTCCAGCAGATGTATAAGGTTGTAGTGCCGGTGGGCTAAGTGAAGGCAGATTAGTGTGACTGCAACAGTTTCGTTCAATATCCAAGGCCGATTCCTCTGATGGGGTTGAACCAGAGCAACGAGTCAAATTCAACCTTGCCTGCTCCATCTTTCAGTCTACTAGGACAATAGTTTAATGTTTCAGCGATGGTTTATATACTCCATCCACACAAAAAAATATAAATAAAAGTTTATATACGTCGTAAACAAACAGAAACTCCAGGGATTAAGATTTTCCTTGGGTCTTCTTTTCTTACTTCCTATATACAGTCTCCCAAGTTTTAAGCATAAAAAATTAAAACAAGAAAACAAAATGTTGTTATGTCTGACTATCCTCATAACAAAAATGAAAGCTAGTATAGTGCCTATTATGCTCTACAGGGTCAAGAATAATGCATTAAAACAGTTCCCACAAAAGCAAGTGAGTGAGCTATAGGGAAAGCAAGAATCAGATTGTGGGATAATGAAATAGATAGTCAAAAAGAAGTGAAAGGCAAGGTAAAAGCAGTAAAGAGAAAAAGAACAAATACAACGAGTAACAAAAGAATTATATTTTCAGACTCAAATTTCGAGAACAAAGAATGAAAAAGGGCTCAACCAAATGTTCAGGAAACAACAGAAATCAGTCAAATGTCGTACATATATAATTTTTCCCCTTTCAATCATTAAAGCTATCTAAAAAAAAATTAAATGAAAACCATAAAATGAAATGTACAAAATAAACAATCAAGATTACCAATTCAAAGTCTAACAAAAAGCAGAGTTCAGAACAACCCAGAACGGCAAACAACAAGTAAAGTAAAATAAAATAAAACTAAAACACAATCCGATGAAGCAAATATATATATATATATACTAGCGGTTGGGCACACACGATGTGTGTGCAAATTAAATAAAGAGGAATAAAAGAAAATAATAATGAAATTAATATTATAATGTGTACTTAGCTTAAGTGGTATGAGTCTTCATACTTAAACTCATGGTCATGGGTTCAAGCCTTGTCCATCTCTTTATTTAACTTTTTTTTTTAAAAATAAAAAAGAAGACTGCCACATGGCATGAGGAGAGTAAAGCAAGCTTCAGGACACCATATTTAACTTTTTTTTTTTAAAATAAAAAAGAAGACTGCCACATGGCATGAGGAGAGTAAAGCAAGCTTCAGGACACCATATTATGTGTTCACTTTATAATAGTATAGATATATATATTGTTTCCTTCAAACCCAGAAAGCAAAAGTAAGAATTGTGAGCTAACAGACACAAGTTCAAGCATGAAGATTGTCAAAGAAATCACATGAAGTTAAAAAAAAAAAAAACTTACCGATCAACAACGGCAAAGAAGATTATGGTCTGAAAGTATTTTCATGCCCTAACAGTCAAATTTGAGCGAATAATCTCTTAATTGTTTTGCAGAGAGTCCCAATCGACGCCGTGATAAACCCAGAGACTGCATAAATAGAGAGAGAGAGAGAGAGAGAGAGTAATGGCATGCTCAGAAAGAGAAAACAAAGGGTGAGAGAGTGAGTGTTCTTGGTGAGGATTAGCTATCCTGTGAAGAGGCTCATGGTACTTAGGGTGAGCTCTCTCTGTGTTGGCTATTGGATTGGATTGGTTTGATTTGATGGAGATGAGTTTAGGGGTTTTGATCTTGTAATGAGTCGGCACGGATTTCAGGACAAAGATTCTCTCCTTGCATTTTCTACTTTACTTTCTCCTTGCAATAGTCAAGATTCATTTTAAAAGAATTTAATGGTGTAGATCCTTCCAAAAAAATTATTTTTTAATTTTTAATAAACTAATCTGAATCATTAGATTCTTTTAAGATGAATCTTGATCATTATAAGGAAGAAGTGAAGTAGGGAAGGCAAGGATAGGATCCTTGCTCCGAATTTCAAATGAATTCACCAATCCTATGATGCGAAAATGAATTCACCAATCCTATGATGCGAGCCGAAAGAATTGTTGTTGGTGGGTCCGGAGATTATTTTTTTATCGACAATGGTTGATTGGGACTTTCTTTTATTTTTTTTTTACCTCCACAATGTTTTTGGATCCCAATCATTAATATTGTGAGTCCTATACTTATAGAAATGAGTCTTGCACATATATCAACGGTTGAAGTCTAAAGAGAGTTGTAGGAGTCCCAAAAATAAAACGTGAGTCCCAAGCATTTTTCTTTTTTTATTTTTAAATAAATTACACTTATTTACTCTAAAGTTTTTGACAAATACAGAAATTTCTCTTATGATTTCAATAATTACAGAACTTTTCCCTTATGATTTCAATAATTACAAAATTTTTTCGTACTTTAACTGACAATATTATGATTTTCTCATTTTTTAACTATCATTTATATAACTAATAGAAGATGCTAATGTCATCAAAGATAAATATTGAAATACATATAATATTCTCAAGTGTCTTGAATCTATTCATCTTTTTTTTCTCTCTCATCTGTTCGTCCTTCCTTCTTCCTCGTTTCTTATATATATTTTTCCTGTTATAAATTCACACTACAAAATAGTCGTTGTCTACAATTTATAATAACCACCACTCAACTATTTATTCATAAAATTACCACACGACCCTGGCTCCTAAAACCACTATCCATAACTTACAATAACCACCATTCCTAACAAATTTTAGATAACAGTTCAAAAAAAAAAACCAATTTTAGATAGCAAAGCATCATTAACTTTATCCATTTGCTTCAGGCCCAAACCACCACAACTTTTAGCTTTCCTGACCTATCCCCATTTAACAAGATGAATCTTTCTATTCTCATCAGAACCTCTCCCAAAAAATGTATTGTTATACCGATCAATCGCCTTATTAATCGATTCTGGAATAAGAGTAGTTTGCATAGTGTAAACCGAGAATAAAAGAATAAACAGATTTTAATCCATACAAATCAAATAAAGAACAACATAAAATTGGCCAAAAACCACCAAATAATTTTCCTTAACAAAATCAAAATTTAACAATCAAACAAATTATATCGATAAAGCAAAACTAGTTGGAAATTGAAACCTCTTGTCTGGACTCCTAAAACTAGGAAAATTGGTAGAGTGAGCAAAAGGCAAGCTTAATCTCATCCCTTACCATATCTTACACCAATCTAGCAGCACAACCCCTTTTCGATTTTGAAACCACCGTCGTTGCGTTTACCTCAGCCACAATCTCTTCATCCACTATTAAAACCATATCTACCATCACCTCTATGGGTTGGGTTTGGATCTGTGCAATTTAGAACCATACTCTACAGCGGTTGTTCGATTGCAAGAAATGAGAAACAAGTGTCAGTGGTAGTTCGGTTGCAGAGTTGTTTGGAGAGAGTGGGTTAAATTGGGTGTGGTAAGGGTCATTGGTCGTCGTCGCGAGAGAATAAAAGAGGTTCGATTTCGTCGTCAGTGATCTCAATGTCGGAGTCGTCATCGAAGACCAAGAAGAGAGGCACTGTTAGATTGGGTTGAGAGGGTTCGATTTCACTGTTAGGAAGATAGAGAAGGATAATGAGAGAGAATAAAGAAACAAAGAAGTTATGAGTGGTGGCTCTGGGTTAAAAAAAGTAAAAAGACATACTTTGTAGGGTATTTTCGTATTTTCATGGTCAAATCAAAGGGTAATATGGTCATTTTGTATAGGTAAGTACCGTTGTTTGTGCAAAATCGACGGATTTGGGAAATCTTAATATTGTCAGTTAAAGTAGGGGAAGTCTGTTATTATTGAAATCACATGAGAGATCCTTATATTTGTTAAAAAACGTTAGGAGAGGTACGTGTAATTTTTCCTTTATTTTTAGATGGGTACAGAGAAAATTTTAAAAGAAAAATTAACATTGAGTATATTTTTAGAAAAATAATTACACATTTTTTGAAATTTTTATAATTTTAATAATTAATATTTATATAATTTATCATTTATCATTTATATGCAATTAATTTGTAATTTCACAATTGAGTAATTTTTACAATTTTAAACGTGAATAATTTTTACTCATGTTGGACTTTGGTTGGGCTATTTTGCAAATAAACTTATTATTATTTTTAAAATTTTAATTTTATATAAAATTATTTCACAAGAATAATATAATAATATTATTTTTATAAATAAATTTATCTTTATAAATATTTTATTTTAAATAAAAATTCATTATGTATGAATATATTTTTTATTTGTATATTATTACTTTATTATTATTTTTTTAATTTTTGTTAGGATGTAGTATTTCTTTGCTCTTAACTAACTAGTATTTGAATTAGAGGCGGTCGCAGTTCGGATTTGAGCAGTTTGTGGGTCAAATTGGACCCGCCCGCACCTATGCGGTTTGGAAAAAGTCAACCTGCAACCGCCCGCAGTGCGTTTTGCAGTTTGCGCGGATAGGGTTCGCGGATGTGCGGTCGGTTTGCGAATTAGACTTTTTTCTTTAAAAAATTATTTTTGAGCCTTTTTTTTTTCCATTTTGTAAATATTTTTTTGGATCCTTTTCTAAATTTATTCTAAAATGCTCCAACATTAATAATTAATGAATTAAAACTTATAACATTAAAAACACAACAAAATCAATTCCTAACACAAATAAATCATTCAAAATCCTAAATTAAATCATAAACTAACACACACATCTTTCAAAATCTTAAACTAGATCATCAATCTCATTCACTAGATACTTACTACCCAACAATACAATTAAAATAAAATCATTCAAAATCCTAAGCTTACCTAAAAGTAATTCTTCATTAATTTTTACATTCATCCAAAATAAAATGCAATAAGAAAAAAAAAAAAAACCGTTGTCAAACTTCATTCAATTCAAATTCATAAAATAAAATAAAAATATTTGCAAGATCTCAAACTAAATGAATCACATCCAACTTTCAAAAATTCCAATTCCATACATTTAGTTGATGAACCCTGCACAAAAATAAAAACTTTAATCTTCAATCTTCCTAATTCTTTTGACAAAAAAAGTGTAAAAGAATAAAGTAATGAAAAGATAAATAAATGTCTATATATTGCATCTCAATATAGTAAGAAAATGTATTGAGTATATGAAAAATTTACCAATGAGCAAATGGATTAGAGTTCAATTATAGTGTCAACATTATAAGTTGAACTTGAAAATGAGCTTGACTCCAAAGTACTTAATTAAGAGTCAACAAAAGAAGATCAATAAAACTCACATTAGAAAATGAATAATACAAATAAAAATGAAGATAAATAAATTATCACATTACCGAGGCATATTCCTCAAATTCCTCCACATCATCCATTGTCTTTCGAAGAAAAATTGGAAGATTGGTTGGAAGCCAATTTTGAGTACATACAAGAACTTCAATCATAGAAGGCAAGAGTGAACAACGAAATGGGTCAATAATACGCCCCCTATACTAAAAGCCGACTCCGACACAACGGTAGAAATAGGCAAAAATTGGTACTTTGGAGTCAAGCTTATCTTCAAGTTCAGTGCTCTTACATGTTGCGGAGAGAGAGAGAGAGAGAGAGAGTCGATCGTGTGAAGGTCGATCGGTGCGAGCTACGCAAATAAAAAACGAGAGAGAGTGAGATGAGAAGAGAGCTACTTAGTGCTCTCAGATGCTTTGAGAGATTAGGGTTTCTTAATTGGTTTTGTTTGGGGAAAAATATCTACATTGATGGAATATAGATGAACGGTCCAAGTTTTCCAAAAAAAAAAATTAAGTGCAGGCAGTTGTGGCAGGGATGGGTAAACCCGCAACCTGCTCGCAAGCCTACAGATTGATATATTCCAAACCGAACCCGACCCTATTATGTTTGCAAAACCGTCCATATATGTGCAAGTTGGGTCGGGTAGGACATTTAGTGCCGATCGAATAACTCTATACCCAACCCTAATTTGAACCATTGATCTGGACCCAAACAAAGTTATTTGGTAATAGGGGTCCATTGTTTGATTCAGAGGCCTATGGCCCATCCACGGACTTGGGCCGAATTCCTAAGACTTGATCAATTCATACCCATGAAACCCATGACATGATACAGACAACGCTTGGTTTGAGAGCCCAACAATGCACCTCTTAGAGCCTACTGAGTCTGAGAGGCATCCATGTAAAATACCCATTAATTTGAGGAAAGGTCACACACAAAAATTCAGTATTTGCAAAAAATTTATATAGAAAATTATCTTTGTAAATAAATGCCATCATTATAGGTTTTTTTTTTTGTTTCAAAGTGAAAAATTGTATACTTTTATACAAAAAGTTCATTTATATATCATTATTTGCTATGATCTTCTACTAATCAATTCACACACAACTCTTTTCTATTCCTGGTATTAGTTTTTTTTTTTTTTTTTGAACAGAATTCCTAGTATTAGTTTGAAATTAACTTTTCTGTCTCACTTTCTATTTTCTCTTTGTTCCAAATCACCTCCTGGCCTATCCTTCTTACATGTGAAGTTTGGCATGTCTTGAAAAAGACAAAAAGTCAAAAAGTCACTATTCTATTTAAGTCACATCATCTTATTTAAGTCACATCACCTCTCTAACACATCACTTCAAACCCAACCCAAACTCAATCCATATTTCATGAAAAGTCAAAAAATGCACTTATTTAGATCATCCCAAACAAAGTAGGACTACAAATGAATAGAACCGTTTATAAATAAGCTCGAGTTCTGCTCAGTAAGAGTTCGTTCAAACTCAATTCATGAAAAAAAATTACATTCGAGCTCGAGTTCGAGCTCGTTAAATTTTTAATAAACAAGTCTAAATATTCTAGAACTGGGCTCGTTAACTGGCTCGTTTAATATTTATTATTTACACATTAAATAATATAAAATATGTATAAAAATATAAGATAAATATGTTATTTATATATTTAAAAAATATAAATGCAAATAATAGTTAATTATAGATAGTATATTTATATAATAGTGGTAGTAGATATTATTATTTTGATAAAATATTGACTTTTTTGTGGAATGTTTTATATATTGTATATATAATTGCCAAAGTGCGACACTCCGAAGGAGTGCTGGCCCGGACACTCGGTTAAAAAAAAATGTATATATAATTGTATAATTAAAGTTTTAATTGGATGTGTTATATAAGTATACTTTCTGACTTTTTGGCTAAAAAAGTAGAGAAAAAAATATGTATATTTGGGATAACTTTTTAAATTTTTATAAAAAGATGTGTAATAAAATATTATAGTAAAATCAAAATGGCCATTCTACCCTTATTGACTTTTAACTTTTTGACTTTTGGATAATTGAATTCAATTATTTTGCCCTCTAGGCTTCCCTCACAAACTTCTCCCAAATAGTATAGATTTTTTAGTTTTTTTTAGTAACTTTTTGACTTTTTGACATTTGTAAGTTATCCCAAACCAAGCCAATTTTTTGACTCGTTAAGGCTGGTGAACAGGCTCAAGCTCGATTCGTTAAATTTTTATTAAGTTCGATCTCGAGCTCAAGCTCGAGTTTATTAAAATCTTAATAAACAAGCCCAAACATATTAAAGTTTGGCTTGGTTCGGCTTGGCTCTGCTCATTTACAGTTGTAATAGTGAGAAAGTTTAAGCCTCGATTGGCAAGTGGCTTTTTTAGCCAAAAATCTAAAAAGTTATTAAAAAAATCAAAAAGTCAACAATCTATATTAAAAAGTCAAAGATTTTATTTTCTTTCTATTTTTTGTACATCTTTTCGTAAAAAATCAAAAAGTCACCCCAAACATACTAATTTTTTTTACATTATATTTTAGCTAAAAAGTCAAAAAGTTACTAAAAAAACCTATTCCCAAACGAGGCCTTAGTTTAGAATAGGACAAAAATATCCACAATCCAAAATGTGTTGGTCTATTATAGAATTTGTTCTGAATTAAACTTTAAATTCATTATGTTACAATAATTTGGGTGGATTCTACTAGACTCCTGTAAAAACTTGTCCCGTCTCTTTCCAGCTGTAATATGTTTGTCTCGACAGAAAATACTCAAACTAGCTCCATAGGAAATCTTTCCCGGAAAAGAAAACCTATATGCTTGTTTGTTTTTTGTTTTCCTTTATTGAAATCATCTAAACAGCACATAAAGTTATTTATTTATATTTTATTTTTTATTTTATTTTTATTTTTACAGGAACTAATAATAGACTCCTACTAAATCAAACTTAATTAAGCATTATGTTCCGATCAAGTAAGGTCAACTAAAATTAGGGTTTATGTTCATAAGAAATTTGACGGAGATTACTGTTAGGCTACATAAAACACAACTCCCTTTCTTAAACCAGACTTGAGATCAATTTTATTAAAAATTGAACACTAGCGCGACACATGCAACAAATAGACTGGTGGAACTTTTATACATACATGAGGATCTAAAATCACATAATAACAATCAAGAACATTCTCATACTTGAAGAAGAAGAGCCTAATACATGGACTTCACCAAATTTGTTGATCCTTCAAACCCAATGAGTTAAAGACTAACAATTACTATATAACAATAAGAACGAAACCAAAATCCATTAACAAAGCGACTGATAATAATCATAACCTCTCAAGTTTGCAGTCGCCACCTAACAATACAAATAAAATTACCAATTTACCCTAGCGTTAGAACGCGTAGAGGTCAGCCAGTTCCTCCAAGGAATCAGAACTGAGGTTAGGATCGGCATTTTCGAGCATCCACAGTAGATGATCAAACAGAACCACCTCACACTTCACCACCGTGATATCGCCACCACCATCTACACCAGGCTGCTGCTGCTGCTGCTGCTGTTGATCCTGCTTTGATTTTTCGATGAGAGCATTCAAAAGAGGATGATTCAAGTGTTTGGAACTAATCACGTATCGCCTTCTTGAGCTCCCAACAAAGATTGTTTCACGATCATCGTTGTCGATGTGATGACCAGCCCAGAATTCTTCTCTAGTAGACTGAGACCTCAAACTGCTGTATGAAGAAGTCCTGCCCAGTTGCCTTGACAAGGTCTTGCACTTTCTTAGTATCAGATTGATCTTCTTCATCCTTGAGAGAGAGAGAGAGAGAGAGAGAGTTGGAAGGGGATGTTGAGAGGATGGTGGTGAAAGATGGCTTGATATACACTCAGAGAGAGAGAGAGAGTATAGTTGGAGGTGAGAGAGAGGTGGGTACGAGGTCATTGTTCTTTTGGTGTTTGGGGGTGGGGTTTAGGACCCCACTTGAAACGGAACCTTTAATGATAGAGATGGGCATGACCTTGTCATCTTCCTCTCATCCAATTCATGGTGTGGGGGCTTAGCTTAATTAGAGGCACAAAGAGACACTCATTTACACATTCTATTCACGCTTTGTTCCCAAATAATTGCATATAGACTTGCTTGGGACATTGAATTAGAGGATACGGATGAGTAGTATTATCGTGGTTCCACATTTTTTTTTTTTTAAAAAAATTTAGTACTGTACGGGAAAGAAATAAATCTTCTCGTATAATCCTGTTGATCAAGTATGCACTCCTCTGTACGTCGTCGCTTTATCACCTGAAAATACAAACGCGAGCTAGCCGACGGGTGTGTGCCGGAAACCTCTCTGATGCCTAAGTCAGTAAGCTTGACAAATAGACAAAAGCTCTGTGTATTCAGAAAATAAAGTTGTGTGTTACTTTTCCAAAGGTGATGTTTGTGAGCTCTTATAAATTTCGTGTGGCACAATCCTAATAGGACTTTTATTCCTCCATGCAGAGTCCTCCTAGGATTCATACTCATGAAAAATAATGCTTATCCTTCAACACCCCCCTCACTGCTTAAACCAAGTGAGATGGTTTTTACCACGGTCGAACTCCAATATGACCGAAGTAATCATGGCTATGCATAGCCGCAGAATAAGCCGAACTAGCTCTTCCTTTTACTGCTCTTACATCGGCTTCTCCTGCACAACCCATGGCGTGGTTAGACCGGACTAACATGTCATGACCGATCTAACTCCAAGACTGGTCTAACTCCAAAGTACAGTTTAGACCGATCTAACTTCGATCTTCTGTCGGACCGGACTAGCTTCACGGCCTTAGGACCGGACTAAATTCAAAATATCCACACGACCGGAGTAACTTACATGGCCATTTTACTCGGCCCTTTGTACTGCAGCTCATAACGGCCCATTACCCAGCTCGGCCCAATTTTCACATAAATTACCCTCTCAATTGCCCCTTAATTCCATATGCCTAGTATGATTGGGATTATCTGTCAACCAGCCGAGCTATAGATTTTTAGCCTATCCAGCCGAGCTACTCTCACACTGAGTTCTGGCTGTCCAGTAATAACGTCTCTTCAATCACAGAGACTGAAACGCTTCCCATTCTTATGGCACGTGGCATGCTCTGATTGACTGAGGACGGCTGTCACGCCGTCTTCGTACTCCGTGTTTTTTTTTAACAGTCCCGCCCAAATTTTGGGCTTTCTAACAAAAACAAATCCTAAGGCAAAAATCCCTCCACTTCTACTATTCATCCTCTTCCTTTTCTCTGAGTTCTTCACTGTTCTTTGTCTTCTGAAAGAGTTCGTGTTTTGCTGCCTTTTGCTTCTATCTCCAGTTCTTGCCTCTTCATCTGGTTAGTATTGCTCCTCTATCTTGCTTTCCCTTGTTTTTGTACTTTGTTTTGTGTGTTTTTGCAAAACACATTTGTCCATTTCGCTTTGCTCTGTACTTTTCTGGAAAAAACTTAACAATAGAACACATGAATACATGTAATATCCTGTAAAAAACTAGTTTTCGATCCAAAATCATGATGCAACCGAACTAGGACACTGTTTTATGCTAGGTAAAAGTCTAGTTAGTTTACAACCGGACTAACACTTCATGTTTACACCAGTAGTTTTAATAAGTCAAACCACTTCTTGTGTTATCTCAGCCGAGGTAACCAACCGAACCAAGTTTGTACTTAGCATACTGAGATACCTGAATTCCAATCGATCTAGGCCTTTGGGATTAAACCAGCTTTCCTAGTTTTTTAGACCAGACTCAGAAAGCTGCCCCTAGACGATCAACCGGTCTAACAAAACCGTTGCCACAACCGAGATACCGAGACGCTTGCCAAGGCCGAGCTAAATAAAAACCCTACTCAAACCAAGCTACAAATCACCTTGCAGAAACCGAAACCGAAACCGAACCTGTAGCATCCCACATAGTCGTAGTAGGACTTCTTTTTATCTTGCTTTTAATTTGTAGCACAGCCCAATGATCTGTGCTTAACACTTTTGTTCTTCACTTTGCAGACTTAGGTTGCCCAGGCACTCCTCTGCGCGCTCAACCGAGCTACTGAGCACAATTTTTGGACCGAACTAACTTATTCATAAATTATACAATAAATGGGAAAGTATAGGTTTCTAGTAAATACTCCGGGCAGTCTAGCCGAATTCCAAAAAGATTACAATATACCCGACGACGTCCACCTAATTTTAGTCGAAAAAGATGTCATACCCTGGGGGAATGAAGGCTTTGTCCCCTTCACCCTCTTGTCCATAATTGAAACCGGACTACGATTTCCAGTCCAACCCTTAATTTGCGAGTTTCTTAGGCAAACCAGACTATGCCCAACCCAACTATCCACCAATTCATACCGTATAATAATGGGAATAGCCGAATTAAACCGCTAAGCCGGTCTCAACCTTGGTCTGGCCGAAATCTTTCACCAATACTCCATTGGTTCGAAGGAAGACGGCTGAGTGTACTATCTTAGAATACGTCGTCGACGTGAGAAAATAATAAAAAACACACCGGATAAAGACTTGAATGACGACGATTTTTTCTGGGTGTCTGGGAATTTTGAGGATCACCAAGCCCAGATTCCTGGCCGAAGCATCAATTGCAAAAAAGGAACACCTGGTATAATTACTTCGATTTTCTTGCGTGCTTTACAATATTTCGGTTTTCAATTTTTCAGTCGAACTAACAGTTGTTTTCTTTCATAGATTCTGCCCATCTCCGGTCTCTGTACAGCTACCCAAATCTAGCAACCTTACGCGCCACACTACGGTATCCATAACGTAGTTGGGCCAAGCTGCTAAAGTTCGAACCGACCTATAAATACAGCGGCCGCCGAAAAGCGAGAGTGACCGACTTTTTGCTAGAGGAGGCCCCAGAACCGGACCCAACCTTGCCAGAAATCAGACTAATCCCACTGACCGCTGAAAAAGAAATGGCCAAGAGAAACAGAGTCAGGGCCCTCTTGACCGAGACCAACCGACCCGAAGTACTGCCACCAAGCCAAACGCAACCTGTCGTTGTGGCCCTTCCTTCTCAACAGCCTTCTTCATCACGCCCATCCAAGCGCGCCCGATCTACCCCGATCGAATAGCGTCTTGTGGATGAGGACGAATCCATTCCTCCACCAATTCCACAGCCGGAGCCTTCTGACCGGGCTGGCTCTTCCAGGTGGGCACCGAAGCTGAAATTTCAGAACCGCCTTATTCAAGATACCGATTCGGTGGTTGCTGAGAAGGATCACTTGATGACCTTCAATCTCGCCAAAAGTGTGTGCCTTCCAGCAGACATGAAACACCACCAGAATTTGATCGAGCTAAAGGCCATTCGATCTGCCACCAAGTCCATGATCCTGGTATAATGCCCCTTTGCCTGCTAACCCAACCACTTTGTAAGGACCTTCCCAATTTGGCCCTAACTTGCCATCTCTTAGTATCAAGGTGTTTCCCATTACTTTGCGCAGTACCCAATCTCCGATCTTGAATTGTCTTGGATGCACCGTTTTGTTGTATTTCCTGGATAACTCTTGTTGATACGAGGCAATGTGGACTAGTGCTCTTTCTCTTCTTTCTTCGGCAAGGTCAAGCTCCAATGTTATGGCCTCTCCATTCAAGTCGGGATCGAAATTTTCGCTTCGAATTGTGGGCAGGCCAACTTCTAGTGGGATTACTGCTTCCATTCCGTAGGCTAAGGAGAATGGTGTTTCTCCTGTTGATCGTCGAGGTGTGGTGCGGTAAGCCCATAAAACATGAGGAAGTTCTTCCGCCCACTTGCCTTTTGCCTTCTCTAACCTTTTCTTCAGTCTATCCAAGACAACTTTATTTGATGCTTCTGCTTGGCCATTTGCTTGAGGATACGCTGGTGTAGAATTGTAGAATTCTATCTTGTATTCTTCACAAAAGCTTCTGAAAATTTTTCCATCAAACTGGGTGCTGTTGTCTGATATGAGGGCTTTAGGTATGCCGAATCGAGTAATGATATTTTGCCAGACAAACTTCTTCACATCTTTTTCCTTGATTGATGCCAATGCTTCTGCTTCCTCCCACTTTGTGAAGTAGTCTGTTGCTACGAGAAAGAACTTCCTGTTGTCGGGTGCGGTTGGAAGTGGTCCTACTATGTCCAAGCCCCACATTGCAAAAGGTCATGGGCTAGTCAATGGTAGGAGTTCTCTAGCTGGTTGATGTATTTGGTGTGCGAATTTTTGGCATTTCTCGCACTTCTTCACATATTTCTCTGAGTCTGCCTGCATGTTTGGCCACCAGTATCCTTGTGAAATGGCCCTGTAAGCTAGTGATCTTCCTCCTTGATGGCTTCCGCACACCCCTTCGTGTATCTCGTACAAGAATGCTTCTACTTTGCTGGGGTGGACACACTTTAGATAAGGTCCTGAGAACGACTTTTTGTATAATGCCAAAGATGGGGAGAGCCAAAATCGGTATGACTTTGCTCTAATTTTGTTGGCTTCTTTCTTTTCTTCCGGTAGGACGCCATCTTTCAAGAATAGTATGATGGGATCCATCCATGAGGGGCCTAGATCGGCATGGCATACTTCTTCTGCTTCGGGGTCTTCGATGCTTGGTCTTGGTAAGTAGTCGATGAGCAAGGGATGAGGGATGGATGCATCTACCGTTGAAGCAAAGCCTGCTAGTTCGTCTGCTCTGTCATTCTCTTCCCTGCCTATCTGTTCTATCCTTACTACTTCAAATCTCTTGATCTCTGTTCTGACCAATTCTTGGTACTTGGCCATCCTATCATCCTTTGCTTCATAGTCGCCAGAAATTTGGTTTACCACCAGCTGTGAGTCGCTGTAGACCATTAATTCGGTGGCCTTCATGTAGTATGCTGATTTGAGT